GTGAAGACGATAGTCGACATACACAATCCCACATGGTTAGATCTCCAGCAGCTAATGGGGACCCTATTCAATCCGGAAGAGAGGGAGAAAATCAAGAATGCAGTAAATGAGATACTAAAGCCAGATGTCAAAGTAGGAGGAAATCCATAAGCATTTGTACCAGGACATATGGCTTGGGATATAGTGCAGCAAGTCCACAGACAGTTGCACCTAGGTAAAACGGCTTTAGCAAAGGCCCTACAAGGGGAAGTTTATATCAACAAGATACACAGCATTGCAGCTAATATTTGTGCAAGGTGTGAGGTTTGTGCAGTTAATAACCCTAGACAGGGGCCCCAGCCACCACCAGGCCATCAACCCAGAGGCAGTTACCCATTTGATTCTTTGATGATTGACTTCACTGACATGCCCCGCTGTGGTCCATACAATGCACTACTTGTCATCGTGTGCACCTATACAGGATAGCCTGAGTGTATCCCCACCCAAACAAAAAGGGCCGCTGAAGTGGCTAGAGCACTGCTCCACGTCATAATCCCCAGGTTTGGCCTCCCTTCCAGGATCTCATCAGACAATGGTCCTGAGTTCATTCACAAAGCCACTCAACAAGTGGCTAAAGTATTAGGTATTGATGGGAAACTACATTGTAGCTTCCATGCCCCTTCCGGGGGCAGGGTTGACCGAGTCAATCGAACCATAAAGGAAAAATTGGCAAAAATATGCCAAGAAACCCATATTAAATGGACAGATGCCTTGAGTTTGGCTCTGGTTGCTGTTAGGTGTGCTCCCCAAAAGGGTGTCTCACTTTCGCCCTTTTGAGTTATTGTACGGTCGCATCCCCAACCTACTTCGCTTAAATATTCACAATAATGTACAGATTTCTGATACTATCAGAATGCAACAACTTCAGACTCTTAACATGATAGTCCAAAAACTACAGAAATATGTACTGACTTATAAGCCCCATGTTTTAGTGACCTCTCCAAATAATATACACCCCAGACAGGAGGTATGGGTAAAAGATTGGAAAAGAGAAACACTGAGCCCGAAGTGGAAAGGGCCGTACACTGTTATTATGTGCTCTCCCCTTGCCGTTAAGGTGGCTAAGATAAAACCTTGGATTCACTGGTCTCGAGCTACCCATTGGAAAGTAAAATCCCACCCGACTCACCCGTTAAAAGTAACTCTCCGAAAGAGTTCGTGGAATATCTCCCCTTGTGGTGACACTCTGGAAACTGTCCTTCTATCAACGGGAGACGAAGAGGAAACGACCCCTGCAGGTGTCACACTGGAAGCTGACACCCATCGCACGGGTTGGGGAACAGACGAAGAGACCCCTGTAGGTGTTACTCCAGAAGCTAACACCCATCGCACGGGTGTCCCCTGGAAACTTCGGTCACAAGCCAGGAAAACCTAAGGCGTAAAAATCCTTAGAAAGGGGAGAATTGGTGGTGATAGGAAACATCACCCATCAAGATATGGAGGCTAATCAAAGGATGCGGGAAACTGCATGCATCCGCAGAAGTCTTATGACCTCCATTTGGACTGTAACTATCCTGTTAAGTGTTGCCCTTAACTCCCTGTACCTATATGAGCTACTAATAGGTAGGGATGGTAACACAAACAAGGAAATACCCCTTGATAAGGATGCAGTTGATGAATGGTATTCACCAGACCCCTTAGACGATGAGGAAACCCCAGCACCAGCACCATAAGATGAGAAGATTAGGCCATGTGATATGTGTTTTATGGTACAGCCCACAGGAAGACATTTCACTTATAGTATAATCAGGTTTCCTACTTGTTCCACAACCAACCTTCCCCAATGTGAACATGAAGGGACTAGATATTGGCAGTGCGTGTACAACAATACTATAAGGTGCCAACTTCTACGTACACCCCTGGGTACCAATTAGGCATGTTCGCATTCCTCGAAATGCAGGAAATACTGAGTGTGCCTTATGTGAAGACAGTAAAGGAACCCTCAAAGCTAAGATTGGAAAACCATCCTCATGCAAACAATTTAACTTAACACCATGTAAACCTATGACGTGGGGAAAACCAACCTCATGCAAAACAACATGCCAAAATAACACCAGGGTACAAACATGCCATGAATCATGTAAAGGTATAACCAAGGTGCCAACAATGAACAAAAGGTATTGACCCTGGAGGTATCATCCATCTGTCTATAGAGACTCAAAAACATCCTGTTAAACCCAATTACAGATATTTTTCTGAATTTTGGCAGGAGGTAGACATCGAGTTCCAACCCTCACAGGAAGCGCGAAACCTTTTTCTGAAACTAGCCTCTACCATAGCCCATACATTTAATGTCACCAACTGTTACATCTGTGGAGATACTAAAATTGGGGACCAATGGCCATGGGCAGCACAGGAATGGAATTATTCGGTAGCCTATAACCTATCAGCAATGCCAAAACACCAGCCACTCTCCAGATGGGAATTGACTGACCCTATCATAGCTCAGTGGTGCTTAGCTAATACACAAGGAACGGGCCCTCTGTAGGGGAAACCGAGTGTTTAGAAGTTCATGAATGGAACCATTCTACTAAATCTTGGGAATACTGGCCTAATAAAACAAACCAATTCTGGGCCAACTATTCTCTGAACATTACTGAGGCCCCTCCTGGGGTACATTGGATATGTGGTGATGTGGCTTATAGTACCCTTCCTTCAAAGTGGAGAGGAACTTGTACCTTGGGAGTTATCAACCCCTCTTTCTTTATATTACCCTTAAATATACCTCAAGTTATGAATGCTGATCAGTGGCAGAGCAGGAAACTAAAAGCAGATTATAAAATAGGAGATTGGAAGGATGATGAGTGGCCCCCAGAACACATCATTCATTACTATGGCCCGGCTACTGGGTGGCGGATGGCACTTGGGTTATTGTACCCCAATTTATATGCTAAATCATATTATCAGACTCCAGGCAACGTTGTAGAACTAATTGCCAATGAAACAGCTCAATCCCTGCGCACCCTAGCAGTCCAACAGAAGAAATTTAGAGATGCAATCTATGAAAACTGTCTAGCTTTAGACTACCTCCTGGCAGCTGAGGGAGGTGTATGTGGTAAGTTTAATTTCACCAATTGTTGCCTGGAATTTGATGATGTTGTTGAAATCATCAAGCAACAAGCTAGACACATAGAGAATCTTGCACAAGTACCGGTCCAGAAATGGAACGGGTTTGTCCTTGGAGACATTTTTGGGACTTGGTTTCCTAAATTACCTGGCCTTCAAGCCATTGTTGCACTAGTTGGTATGATTGCTGCAGGATGTGTAATTCTACCATGTATCTTACCTATCTTTGTCAAAACAATCTGTAATAGTCTTTCTATGTTAATGGAGAAGAAAGCCACTGCTAAAGCTATGGCTTTATGGGAGTATGAGAAATTGATTACAACAGAAGAACCTTTCCCCTTTAGTGAAACTCCACTGTAATCAGGAGATCTAGGTGAAGTTTCAAAGGGGGGAATGAAGCAGTATGGAAAGTCACAAATAAAATATACATTTACCAGAAAACCCGACCCCAAGCTTTGCTTCTTATAAAAATATTGTGCAAAACCACAAAATTCCTGAAGTAAGGAACTGGAAATAACCACGTTACTGTAAACAACGGTGGACATAGAAAATAACAGATGGTGTAAGGTAACTGAGTAATCAAAAATGTACTTCTCACTTCCTCTATATTTCCTTAATACAAATATATATCTTATTCTCCTTTTTTGGTAAAAATATAATAAAAGGAATGCCCCGGCCTAGTCTGAGGTCATGCTATGTATAAAAGTGACAGATCAGGAAGAGTTGGGGGTTCAGAATTTGCCATACTAATGCTCTGAACCTTGTGCACAAGTAAACCTGTATTCTCCAACCTTTCGTGGTCTTGTGTCCTGATTTGGAAGCAAGAGTTTCTGCTACAATATTATTTGTATTATTTGTTGTACACCCGTCTATAATTGGTAATTATAATTCATTTGGGTTTTGTGCAAATGTTAATATAGAACAAATCTTAAAATACATATGAAGAATATATCAAACAAAAATAGAAATGCAAACAGTACATTTGGTATCATACACAAAAGTATTTTTACAATAATAAAAGGTGAATGGCTTAATGGACTTTTACCTACTTTAGTAAAACCTTGCATACACATTTGCATTATAAATTTGAATCCTTTTCCTACTTAAACAGATGAAAATTCTTCTCAAGTTTATGTAATCATAAATTATTGTTTCAAATAACATTTCTCTACTGATTGATTGTATAGTTCCTCTTTTCTGTCATAAAAACATATATGTGATAGCAAGTACATGTTAAAAATGAAATCAAGTATTGATCACAAGATCTATTAATATATTCATTTGCAGTTCATTTGCTGCTCCATAGAAATAATTTTTGTATGTACTTCATATAATTCACGGATGTGTATAATAAACATGTACTAATTAAATACTATAAATTATACTTCATATCATTTTTGATTTATATATTAGTAGTGTACAAATCAGTGCTACCCACATCAATCAACTCAAGTTTTTCCAGCTCCCCGATTCAGTGACTAAAACAACCCAATCATGGAGATGTTTTGATGTCCAAGTGATGAGCTCCCTGTAAGAAACAGGCATTTAAATGTACACAAGAGATGCCTATACGCTGCAATTCATGGAAATTTCTAGAACTCATCTGAGCCTATTGGTATTAGCTCTGATTGACAAGTAAATATTAATTTTTTATTACAATGTAGTCATTAGGATTAAAGATAGACATATCAAAATAAATTCCTGTCTATTCTGGACCAAATTTAACAATTGTATATGTTGAGGTAGTATAGCACTAAGAAAGGAAAGAGCTGGATTATTTCTTTTTCTAAGAAGTATTGTGCTTATCTGTGGATTACATTGTACAATAAGTCCACTAACAAAGTTTGTCAAATTTTGATATGGCTAACTTAAGTTCAATTCTCAGAGTTCTTTGGAAGGACATGCTACTTGCCGGAAGGAACTAATCCTGCATTGTTCAAACTCTGAAAACAACATGGTTCTATTCAGGCTATTACTGTCATTTTAATAGTAGCTATTTTTAATTATTAGTGTATCAATAGCAAGTATAAGAGACAAAGAAACTATACTGAATAGAATGAAAAAATAAATTTCATCAGGCAATTAAAGTGGATGCTTCTGGTTACCTGAAACATAATTATCTTTGAATGAGACATAACCACTTTCTAAAGCGATTACTTTTTAGTCTCTCACAAAAGCACTTTGGAAAAAACTTTCCTTTGACTTCCTTTAATATCCAGAGAGAGAGAAAGTGAAGAAGGACTTTATTGTAAGTACAACGATGTGTTATTCAGCAGTTACAAACTGCACAATGCTCCACCTTATTCTGGACCTCCACGCTGTAAAATAAAATATTATCTTTTAGCAGAAACAAAAATCAATTCTTGCAACATTGCTGATTAGAATAATATTCATCGTGCATTCATTTACTGCCTTTCCTATAGGAAATCAAGTTGATATGCCCCCTCCTCCTTTTTAATATCACAACAGCAATCTTGTAGGGTGGGCTGAACTAAAAGAGAACTGGCACCAAGTCATCTAGTGACCTGTAGCTGAGGGGACTAGAACCTGATTTCTTCACCCCTATTCAAATACCTTAACTATTATAATAGTAGTTTCTACTGCTATCATACATAGTGACAGACATTCTCATTTCTGCTCCTGTTTCAGATCCTTCACTCAACATGTTCCATTTGACTCAGGCACAAGCCAGACAACATCTGAGTGACAACTGGAAAATTAACAAACCATTTCCCAAATGCTGCCATCTTAGTTAAATTTTAGGAGAGAAATTAAATATACAACTGAGTGGTTTGGGGAGAACAAAAATATAAAATTAAACAATGAAAAAATACAGTAGGACACAGTACTTGAGGATTACAAAATGGAATTAGAAATTAATTTCTAAATGGAATTAGAAATCTCCTGAAATCGATAAATTTCAGAAGATTTCCAATTAATTAAAAATAACATTTGGAACAATATCAAGCCACTGCAATGTTGCATAACTACCCATGTTTTTGCAATGCTGACCTTGCAATATTTTTTCTACACTTCATTTCTTGCAATTTTCTTACTAACTACTTTGAGTGTCTGAAATAGCATAAATAGATTAGTTGTTCAGTAAGGAAAGAGGGGAGAGCACTTGAGCAGATTTGAGGAAATCTGTTTCAGCATTATAATTGTTTCATTTATCACAATTCATATCTGAGACAAGGTCTGGTGTTCTGAATGCTTTAAAACAAGGATAACCAATCATATTGTTTATCACAAGCCAATACAGGTATCCAGCTCCAGATATGTCAGACTCAGGCTGCTTCAGTCAGATATTCCAGCTTCCCACTAGCTCCAGATAATATGCCAAGCTATATTGGAGTACCAGGTTGTCTAAATCAGGGGTTGCCAACCTTTTGGACCTCAGGAATCACCAAACTCATAATTTTAAATCCCGTGGATCAGAGACCCTGGGAAAATCCCCCAAAAGTCTGCAGGAAAATTCCCCATCCCGTTTTCCTATCTATTGATCATTCTTTATTTGGATACCTTCTCTAGCTCTGTTCTCAGGGAAGGAGAGGGACAGGAAGAGAGAGAGGGAGAGAGAGAAAGACTTTTGGCTTCATGCAAGGAAAGCAGCAGAAGCAGAAGTCTTTCTTTCTCTCCCCCAAACTCCGCCAGAAGTGAGTCTTTGTAAGACTTGCCATGCTGGCGCAGCCTCTTGGAGCAGGATGCCTTGCAGGATCCCAAAGACTCATTTCCGGCGGAGTTTGGGGAAGAGAAACACTTTTGCTGCTTTCCTTGCATGCAGCCAAAAGCAGAAGAAAGAAGCAGAAAGAAGGAGCCCAAGGAGCCAGGTGAGTGGGGCAAGTTCCTCCCCTCTGTCCTTTCCCTCCTCCCCTCACTACCTCATGTTGTTTGCAATGCAAGCGACACAAGTCTTGTGTTCCCACGGGCCATGTGGGCAGCATAGTCTTGTGTTCCTGTGCAGCCTGGATTGTTTTTGGAGGTGCTTTGGGGGTGACATTTCTCTGCGGACCACCAAAATTTTCTCATGGATCACCAGTGGTCCCCGGCCCACCGGTTGGCGACCACTAGTCTAAATCAGTTGTGCCAAATTCAAGATTTAAAGCTACCAAACTCTTTTCTCTTGCTTATTTTTGTAGTGGATCTTTGGGAGAAAGTGACTAAATTCCCACCTAGAAGCATTCTCGAAAAGATAGGTCTGAGAAAATTTTCCTGTGCCATACATTTATACTATGAAGTTCCTGATCATATTAACCACAAACTATTAGTAAAACTATTCAGAATTTGGAAAGAACAATCACCAATATGTGAAGGATACAAAGTAATGAAAAGGATGGAGTATTGTTGTTGCTCTTGATAAATAGAACTGACTTAACAGAGAGGTATTCAACTTATACTTTATGGAATTACACTCATGGTGGAAGAACAGATTTTTAAACTGGGATTCCCCTGGATTTGTGTTGCTGGATTTCTTAACAGCATTTTATGTAATTGCTGCTAACTGCTGCTTTATTGAGGAAGAATGAACCCTCTGCATAGTTACCGATGGTAGCTGATAGATTAGGGTTTCATACAATTCTCCTTGCAGTCATTTGAACTTGGCTGATAACTGAGATAACACAGAATTTCGCATAAGCTAGTTAAACAAACAACTAATGAAAATGCAAGTGAAATAGGTGGCTGTATAACTTAAATCAATCCATTTATTTAGTACCATTCACAGAATATTCACTGTTGACAGGGATTTTAGATCTCCCAGAGAAAGTTTAATTACAAAGTATTTTTCCACTGAATAATTTGGTTCTTCATCTGTGGTTTCAGTTTGGCTGATATGCTATTGAGTTATAATTTTTAGTTGTTTTACCCATATTATGGTGCTGAAAAGATGGATTCATATTGCCAAGAATTTTGTTTTGCAATAGGCAGTCCATTCCTGGTTTAAGTATGCCCCTTAATATTTTGGGGGGTAAAATCTAGAGATTATTCCAGCTGAAATTCAATCGCTAATCATTAACAATCTGTAATGTGAAATAAAACCAATACAATGCTAAAGCCTAGTTCTAACCTTCTGATTGTATTGTCCTGCTTCTGTAGCACACACATATACACCCAAAGAGGCTTCTCATCAAAATAAGCAAACCACAGAGTCTAAATTTTTATTTAATTGTTTGATTTTTTTTAATAAACTGAGGTTTTGAAAATAATACTAATATTTTAATATTTGTTTAAAATGAGAACTTACTTGAATGTATTCCATCTCTTCGACTGACATAGGTTTCCTCCTGTATTTTTGAGGTAAAGTTCTTATTAATTCTGCTGTGTCAGGTATACCTTGTATTCTACCAGTAAATAAAGTATTTTGAGAAGATGGTGCTTTGTTTTCTGAAGAAAACTGCGAGGCTATCCCATGAAGTGGAGGCACTCTTGATTGTAGAGAGTCGTGCACTGGAACAATAAGATAGAAAACCGTATCAGCAAAAATACTCTGGGTGCCCTACATCATGACTAACCATGTTTGTCTAATGCAGCAAAACACTGCATTAAAGGCTACCTTAAAGGCTCAATAAAGTTTCCTGATCTGGCCTACCTCAAAAGGCTGACAATGTCAATCTGGTCCTGAACATTGGCCATGCAGGGTGGATATGATGAGAGAGTTATAATCTAGCACATACGGAGAGTCAAGGATTAAGGAAGTTTGGCATCATGTAAACTACTGAAGTTAAATGATTAATTCAGAAAAGAATTAACTGAGACTAAGACTCTAGTTAAACTTAGAAGTACCCAGAAGCTACAATTACATTTGAGCACAACAGTGAATACTGTCAACATCTTAGTGATGTGAAAAAAATGTTTTATTTTATATATCAATTTTTAAAATCTTTATTTCCCACTTTATAATTTTTGCAAATAATTCAGGCAGTGAACATATCCAACACACCTTCCTCCTCTTATTTTCCCCATAACAACAACCCTGTGAGGTGAGTTAGGCTGAGAGAGTAACTGGTCCAAGATGACCCAGTTGGCTTTCATAGCTAAGGTGGGACTTGAACTAATGGTCTCTTGCTTTCTAGCCCTGTGCCTTAACTATTAGACCAAACAGTCCATCTCCCTTACAGAGCAACACAACATTAGGGGTTATATTTGGAAAACATTATATTGGGTTCACATTATCATGCTAACCTATAATGTGAATTATAAGCAATGAATGACAATTTAAATGTATTGAGCATAAATTATGGTAAGGCATTGCACCATGTGCACTTAGTAAAGGCATACTTACTTTTAGGTTTTGGAGTACTTTTTCTGTCTGGAAACTTAATCAGTGGTGTATGTGGTTTGACTACCTAAAGAAATGGGAAAAGCAAGTCAGTATATACATTTCTATATGTGTGCAGTTCTGTCAAGAAAGGATAAAATCTATGTCTCCTTTTAGACTGAGAGCCGAGTTGATGCAGTGTTAGATTGGATTAGAAACCAGAAGATTATGAATTCTAGTCCTTTCTTAGGCATGAAAGATGGCTCTCTCAACACTATCCACCACACATCAATATTGTTGTGTGAGGAAAAAAGGTGACAGCATTATGCACATTGCCTTGATTTGTAGAAAATAAAGATAATAAATAAATATAACAATGATGTTTCAGTGAAGATTAAGTGGAAGCCCATATAATATCAGCTGAACTGAGGAACCAGAATTTAATAATTTAGGACTGGAATGAATCTACTTTTACAAAACTGCTCTGCTTTTTCAATTTTAGAAAGTTGGACTTATTCCAGTGCTAAAACTATCTTATTACTTCTAGGCACACTACTTATTAATTTGCACTCAGATGACATCCAAAGAAAAACACAACCAGTTCTTAGAATTCTTCTATTATTTTTGAGGAATATTTATATGCATGGGTGATTGGCAAGCACTAAGTGCAGAGTCCAGTTACCATCTGCAGATTTGTACAGTTATTCTTAATACTGCAGAGAGAAAAAAGGAATGGTAGGTTCATGCATACATAAACAAAGAATGATCAGGGAATATATTACCCTTTTCCTTAAGGAATCCTGTGAATTTGGCAATTATTTATAGTATTTTTATTTTGCTACTCAAGCCAAAAAGGATCTCTGAACACATTTTGATACAAAACAAGAAAATCCCTGCTTGTCTCCCTTTGGCACAATTTGGTGGAAAATCTGTTACTAGTACCGGTAAAAATAAATCTTGTTTTATCAGGCAAAGTGAAACTATTCCAAGCAATATATTTGGGTTAAGAATTTAAAGAACAATCCTACTGGATTTTATTAAACATTTCTCTAGTTCAATCTCTTGGATCTATTTTAATCCAAGAGATATGGCTGGGGAAGGGCAAAGGGGAACCAATGTACCTAGTTGTTATGGTGAACCAAGAGGAAGAAAGCGAAAGTACTAGGAAAATTGGGGGAAGGGCTAATAAGATTTGTACTGAGACATTCCTGACTGAAGGATAGAAGGCAGTAAGGGGAGAACTATGCTTAATTGGAACAGGCAATGGCTAATGGGAGGAAGATGGGGATGTATTGGGACAGCAGTGGAGGACAGATTGTGGGATATTTGGCATCTGGGCTGGTTGAACAGTATCACCAGCATTAACAACAGTGACTGTAGAGAGGAAAGATGCTACAGAAGAGGGCAGATTGGTACAATATTCTGCATTAGGGACTGCTAAGGAATGGAAAGGAATACAAGGATACTTATGTGCCCAGCTTTACCCTTTTTCCTTATTCAGAATTTTTATATAAAACTTGAAACATTCTGAGTTTTGAGTTTCACAGAACCCTGGCTGATCTGAAATGATTCGGTAGAACCCGTGGAATATGAACGTTTGTTCCAGATTCAAAAAACATCTTCCCCATTTTATGCACACCAACATCAACAAAAATATTTTTATTTTTGGTCCAAGTTATCTTGTACTTGCAGAGTCAAAATATAAACACCCAGTCACCATTAGTTATAGAAACAAAAAAAAGAGATATATATTTTAAAAATGAGGTGCAAATTATTCAGTGGATCTAAAATAATTGTTAAATTGCTGTAAAACTCAGAGGTAAATCTAACAATGAATGGAACAGAAAATGAATGGAAAAAAGTGAGCATATGAGGGAGGAGGGAAAGAAAGATACACGCAACAGAGAAAAACTACAGGTATCACCAGGTCTGAATAGGACTTGCATTTTTAAATTTAAAAAAATCACTCCCCACAATAGAAGTGAGGATCATCCATAAAAATTGAAAAATTATAGGCCATTTATACCACTGGTACTAATCATCTGCTTAGTGAAGAAATCCAAATCAAAGCATCCCAGATAGATGTCTATGAAGATGCATCTTGAATACATCCAATGGTTGATTCCATCATATTCAAAACAGCCAATAAAGGGAGCATGTTTAGTAGGCAGAGAATGGGAAAAGAACTAGATATGAGAAAAAGGATATGATATCCCAGCCGATGCATTTTATGTTAAGTAACCCCAAAGAGAACTTGCTGCACCTCAGCTTTCAACAAATCCAGCCAACAGGACCAGTAGGAAGAGATGCTTAAAACTATTTACTAACTATAGGATTATGCACTGTCCACGCAATATCTTTTAAATGCTTGACTTCATAGCAGCAAAGCTGTTCAAATAACCAACCATGCAATTCAATGATAAAGGAGCCCCTCTAACTTTTTTTTTTAAACGTCGAACAAATATTTGAGTGGAGGGCAATATTTCTATCAAAGCTGATATTAATGCAACAGCATAAAATCCTGATTCACATTTAGCCTCGTCTCCAATTTGGGAAATGTGTTTTTTATTAAGTATGTATTTTGCCAAGTCTGCCGTAAATCTGCAACTGCCGTCCTTTAAAGCAACGTCTGCAAGGCCTCTTCGTGTTTGGGCTTAGAAGTCCTTCCTACAAGCTGGTGTACCTCTACTTGGAGGTCCGGGAGTTGCAGTCCAACAAAGCGGATAGATAACACGCGCAGAGAAATCTGGTCTACCGATTTACTGGGGAGAAGAAATTCAAAGGTGTAGAAGACCGCTAAGAAAAGTCTCGGGAGAGTCCGCCGTTTTCCCATGAAATCTGCTAGGGAAGTCTCTTGAGACTGGCCAGCCAAGACACCCGAGTAGGTCGAATCCACTTTCCAGGACTGGCGTTCCTTCTCCTTTCCACTCAAGGACACCAGCACCGGTTGGTGCAGCTCAGCACCAAGGATTCGGTCCCCAACCTGCAGCCCCTCGCTAACCTGCAGGCCCCAGAAACCTTGTATAGAACTGCAGCTACAGTTTCCAGGCGCACCCAAAGCTTTCGTCAAGATACTCGATTTGAAGGACTTACTTGAACGACCCTACTGGCGGCCGCCATCTTACTGCCCATGATGATACGCCGCCCGGGCAAAGGAAAGAGCGCGCCAGCATAAAGCGTTGCGGGAGCGGTAAGGCGGGGTCTAGCTAAGGCCCGCCTCCACGAAGGGCACGGCTTCGAACCCAACGGAAGAAGTGTGAGGTGGATTTGGTGCGGAGGGTTTCTCGTGCAGCTATCGAATGAGGGATTGGCAGATAGCCAATGTTTATTTTAACTACCAAGCGATTTATTTATCCAACTTCTATAGCCGCTCATCTTAATCAGTGACTAGGCTACTTACAATTGAAAAATACTTGTTTAATTTCACTAAAACAACTGTTTGCCTTACCCAAACTTATTGAATGATTAATTACTCCTTGTTTAAAATTGATTTATTCAGGTTTACATAGTTATCATGTAGCAAACAATAACTCTTTTCACTATGCATATTTGTTTGCTTAGCTCCTTTTCATATCTGCACAAAAATATGGCAAATGCAGCCTGGTTTTTTAGAATATCTGCGCGCGCGCGCATGATGTGCTTTAGCCTACAACGCGCACACACACACACGCACACACACCCACCCCTCTCTTAGAAGAATGAAATATTCTAGGAAATATTAAAAAGGCAGAATATATTTTCCTGAAGAAGAAATATGTTTTAAAGACAGCAGCTTCCTGCCCCCTTCAGCTCCAGGGTGATGGGATTAAGGATGGCCCTCAGGAAATGATAAGGTTACTGGTCTCACCACATGGTCTAGGAAGATTGCATTATTCAGCACTCAGGTGAAGCCATGTGGTCCAGACAAAGCCTACAAAGTTAGCTAAGACACCCCCCACCCCCAGCCAACCCACCCTGGGAGTCTGACAGCCAATGGGATACATTTCTTACACAGGAACAGAAAACACTAAAGGGGGGGGGGGAAACAGAGGGTACAAAACCAAGGGATTCTCAGCATCTATCCCCTTTTTGCCCAGGAGCTCCAAGGCATGTGGTCCTGTCCACCATTAAACCTTCTTTCCAAGCAACTTCCATGAATCCGTTGTCTTTTTCCCCACTTGGAACTGAACCCAGAAGGATATTGCTTCCAACAACTGAATTAAGTCATCTCAAAGCATTGACCTTTTCATCTATGGGTGATAGATACTTAGCTATCTTCTCTGTGACCTTCAAAGTGGAGAAAAGATATGTGTAAGCTCTAGTTAACATTAACTAGAAAATACTAGTTTCAGATTATTCAAGTACACAAAGTATTTTTTAATTGCCAGCACAGCTTCGGTACCACAGTGTATCTACTGTAGAAAGTTAGCACCCACCCCTCTCCTAGAATGAAACATTATAAGAAAAATTAAAAAAGCAGAATATTATATTTCCCTGGATGAAAAAAGGAGAAACATGTTTTTAAAGACAAAGTGGCTCTCTGCAGCTCCCTGGCCCCCCGTCAGCTCCAGGATGATGGATTTAAGACATGGCTCTCCGGACATGATAGGATTAGCCCTCTACCCATCTAACAGCAGGGCTCACTGCATTGCAAAATCACCTGGGGACATTACATCAGTCTACATTTCAACTAGACTTATCTCAGACAAACTCCTAGGATTTGCATATGACCTGTACAGCAGCCAATAGGATCCCTCGCTACAGGAACCAGAAGCTCAAATTCAAACCCCAAGAAAGGGTATAACTCTCCCCACCATCCCATGTGGTCATCTACCCAGAATCACATGTGCTTGGTGTGTTTCTTTCCACTTGGAACTGAAACCAGATGGACATTTCTTCCAACACTACATTTATTAAATTATATATTGTATAAAATTCACACCATCACTGGACAATTAATTTGACAATTAATTAACCATCCTACCCTTTCTTAAACATCTCTAGCAAAGTCAAGTCTATCTCTGAAAGCAGGCTGTACAATATTTAACAAATCCTTATTTTTCCCAAGCCTATTTGTATTTTAAACTACTTAATTGGGCTTTTTTTAGTAATAAAAAAACAAACCTGCTTTGTTTTTTGTGTGACAGCTTTTATTGTCTTAAAATATTTTCCCGCTAGCATATCAGCTTCAACCATTTAAGAAATTTCCAGGCCTCATACAATTTTTGCCACTGCCTCTGGACATAACCAGTTTGGTATCTTTCTTAAACTGTTGCCCCAAGAAGTGCAAATGATAGCATGAACTTCAGTTATAACAGCACTCATTATGCCTTTTTGTTCTCTAATGTTTTCCTAATAGGATATTTTAAAAGGGAAGCTCCTTCAGATTTTTATCTAAGTACATATCAGTATGTATTTTTATCTAAGTACATATCTAAGCACTTATCACCATTAAAATAATAGCAGCAGTGGGAATGTTATATATATAGTGTTAAGAGAGCAAGATCCTACTGCCATTTTGTATGGATCCTTGTGTGTCTTAATTAAAAATATTTATTTTTGTCTGGAAACAAACGAGGTAACCTAACAATATAGAACAATTACAGTATAACATTTCTGCAAAAAACTCTTATCAACATTTAGGAGATTGCCTCCTATTTAGGTATTGTAGAATTTACTTCTGGTTTTACTATATTATCTGTTCATTGGCTATGAAAATCTACAGCAGATATAGAGAAATAGACTATTAAAAATATCTTACAAGAATGGCCCAGAAGAAAATACTGCTGAATAATATTTGGCAATATCAACTATGAATATTTGAACTACTGATGATTCATTAAAAATCCATTGAAATTTAGACATAAATAATTGCATCATACATAGGCATACATGAGGACAAATTGTGATAAGAAAATAAAGTGGCTACCTTTGTAAATACCTGCTTTTCCAAAAGGCTATTTTTAATGTTACTGGAATTGGTAACTTATGCAATATTAAGAGGAGATGTGAATTATTTTACAGCTAAATGACTCTCCTGTAATAACTCCTTGAATACATTTACAATGACTGTAACAGAATTTCTCTTTTGTTGCTATATTAATCGTACTTCAATGGAATATATTCTTGTACAGATACAAAACTCTTAGACAATGACTAGTATATTACGAAAACCTGATAGATTACCCTTTTTTCTGAATTTGGAAATCACAGGAAGAAAATACAGTCATTAACTTGATGTTGTTTCAGATGCCAGTCACATTTTTCTCTAGTTGTAGAACAATTGCCTTCAATGCTGGATCCTTTGCCCAATTGACTCCACTTCCAGTAATAAGGTTCTGCATTAATATTATTTAATATAAAATCAACTAATTAATCATTTAAATATGAATGAATAAGGATTTTTTGTTCTCAAGTATCACAGTTTTAATATGCAGATAAATGCATGTTCCACAACAAAATAAGCAATTAATTGTTGGTAGGTTGTATAATTTGTGAATTATATTATGTTTCTACAAGGAAGTTTTTTCAAATGTTTATCTATGCAAAATTTGTTTATTCTTAGAATATATTTAATAAATTCCATTTATACAAGCAGTTCTTGATTTATGACTGCAATTGGAACTGAATTTTACAACCATTTTTACCATTAAATGAATCATGTAGTCATAAGTCCAAATTACAAGGGTTGTTAAGGGAATTATGCAGTCATAAATCTGAATCCATCCTCTAGAAAGGGCATTTTTGCTGGAAACCTGCTAAAACAATGCAACCAGTCATAAATGTGAGTCATAAATTGATGGTTATCTCTAATCTGAATAAAAAGGGATTAAAAATGTATTGCATATAGAGTTTGTTCTACATTATACTAATCTCTGCAAGTTATACCTGTAGCTATAATTATAGTGGTAATAAGTTCAAAGTACAATATTCATCTATCAATAATCATAGAAACACTCGATATCTACAAGTTGTCCTTGCTTAAGGACCACTCAGACCTACAGGAGAAGTGGTAGTTACAACATTGTTCACAGCATCCCTGCAGTCAGGATTAAGATTCAAGGTGCTTGGAACACATTTCCTACATCACAGCATCTCACAGTCACAACCGCCATTTGTGACTTTTGCTGGCTTCCTACAGAGTCAGTAAGTTGGCAGAAAGTCATAAATGGTGACAGTGTGACATCTGCACTTAATGACCTGTCATGATTCACTTAATGATGGCAACTGGAAGTGCTGGAACTTTCATTGCTAGATAGTGTGGCCACATGACATCATGTTTTAGAACTAAGTCACTTAGCAATGAAACTTCCAATCCCAATTGCCATAATTAACCAAGGACAACCTGCATTTGATATCAACATTTTAATTTTCATGTTTCACATCTACTACAAATTAACTAATCCCATCAAGTAAGACATTTTCCTATCTATACAAATATCACTTACCTGGAAAATGTTTTGAATCAATGTGGTCATCTGAATTTCCTTTTGTAAATTTTCACGAACTTTCTTCAACATTTCGCCAACCTCCATATTTTCTAAATCCTCTTTCTGTTTTCTCTTCATATTATATATTTGTGCCAGTTTACATTCTCCAGCTCGCTTTAATTCTATTGGAGTATTGGAGGGGGAGGGAAGATAGTAATTGCTAATTTAAAAAATGAGTTCAGGAACATGCCTTGCATTCACTATACTTGTGGATTATACTAATGAAATTAACATTTGAAATTAAATTAAATTTGTGTTGTTTCAAATTAATTTATCCTATTGATTTTTTTATCACAACAAATTACTATAACTTACCTAGTCTTCTGTTCTTAACCTCATTCAATTTTTCTTCCAGTTCACGGGATTGCTGCAAAACCAAGTAATATAAATGTATATATATTAAATGTACCCATACATCCAGATTAATACAACTACAAAGATTAACTTTTCAAATGTTTCACCATTAGTTTCAAATGATGCTTTTATAGACAATATTCACTATCATTTTAATATAAAGGATACTCACCTGCTTTGATTTAAGTATTGCTGTACTAAGCATTATGATATGTTTAACGGTATCCCAAATAAACCTAATGAGAAAATGTAGAAAAATCAACAAGATCTACTAATACATGAATCCAAATCACATGTTGGATAGATTTAAAACACCGGAGTATCTTGCTTAATTCTTTCTCAAGCTACAATATGATTTTCTTGTTCCCTGCTTGTTACAAAATGCTTTGACCGGCAACATTAAATGCAAGAGAAGAAACAGACAAAAGAGCTACAAATATATTTCAAGATTGCTTTTTGAAAGTGAAGAAGATGCCTGCTATACTCTTATACTCTTATCTATTGTGCCTGAAAATATTTATGACTAAGAATTACAGTGGAAACATTTTGATCGATTTTATAATGCTCACTGCTCATGAAGTCTATTGATGATTCTGACAATGGTTTAGCATTGGTTTCACATCAGAATAACATTTGTTCTAAAATTGTATTCTAGATTATAATGACTGTAGTTGAGATATAGCTACATTCCTAGACCAGTGGTTAGAGTTTCTGCGCATGTGTGAATGTCTCCTTTGCGCCGCTGTGCCTGATACCTGACAATCAGCTTTCGGGTGGACAGCGCGCACACATGCGCAGTAGACCTTTTCTGGGCAAGGGCTCGCGTGCCGGCAATAATGCCTCTGCGTGCTACTTCCTGTTCGCCACCACGATCCTAGAAGAAGCAGACTATTTGAACCTTTTTCAGTTAAAGTTCAGGCCTGAGAATAGATGGCCATAAGCTTTAATGAACCACATAACAGTATTTTTATGGCTGGCCAAGTGAAGATTCTTCTCAATTATACTGTAGATACGTTTAAAAAATGTATTCCCTTCATGATTTTAATGCTTACTTTGAATCATCATCTTCATTTTTCAGTTTGGTTCTAAGGGCATCAGTTATTTGGATCCTATAAAACAAAGAGAAAGTAGATATAAGATTGTTCTGAGACATGTAACAGTGTATTTAGAGCTTTTATAATACAAGGATATATTTGGATACCAAGTACAGTATATTTCCCTCATCTCATTATATATATATATAATTGGTTTTATATATACATATATTACCATACATATACACATATACATACACACACACACACACACACACACGCATATATATACCAATTTCACATAATGCCAAGCACTGTATGTCAAAGATGAAAAACAATGTTAAGTAAACAAGTTTTTATTTTAAGTATAAGCTTAAATACTTTTAGATTTTAATATTTCTCTAAAGCTGCTTATTTCAATTTGTAGCTGAACTTTTTCATCTGTTAGAGATATTAGATTTGGAGAATTTAGCATATTTTAAACAGTTGGTTCACAGTGGTGACTTAAGAGAGAACCAACACAATATTAGAAAAAACAACAGTCAGCTTTGAGAATATCGTAATTCCAAGTGTTCCAAATGTATTTTGGTAACAAAACAAAGAGGACCTTATATTAGGATGACTTGGTGGTGTACTAATCAGGACCAGCCCTGTTTAACTTTATGAGATCAGCCAAGACTGCCTAGGTATCACTGTCTAATGGGCAGAAATGGGTAAGCCTGCAATCACAGGTAGCTTTTTGATCACTCCATTTAGAGCTTATCAGCACCTCAAAATTCTGCTCTGAAATTCAATGATAATAAGACTGGTTTTCAGTAGTGGGATTCTACTTTCTTTTCCCCTTGCTCAAACTAGGGAAAATTAGTAGAAAATCTATTTTGTAGAAAATCCATTAACCCTTGATCAGGTTACTTGAACCAGGATTCAGATATAAATCACAAAATCCTGACTTTGTACAGCTTAATGAGGCTGCTGAGCCTGGACTTGGCTGAAATTTGTTATATGACATGACTACTAAATAAAATTATTTATTACAATGCCTTGTGTAAATGTACTTTCTAATCTGCACCTGAAGGCCTTAAAGCTGCTAACAGAACTAATATTTATTTTCTGAGAACTGATGGTTCTTGTCTTATCTCTCATATTGTTTTCCTCTTTCAGTTATCCCTCTTCCACTAGTATTCACCCCCAGTGTGTCTGAAAGGGTTTCTATCCCTTTTTCTTTCTGATTCTAGGCAGCAAGAAATAAGGGTGTACTCCCCTCTTATTTGATGTGTTTTTCTCTGGAACTGCAAAGACTTCCATTCTTTCACAATGTTCTGTCTTTCACATGCTGCTGACTTTCCATGTAACCCTTTTCTCCCCAAATCAAAACCTTTTCTTACTTAGAGCCAGAATATTTGGCAGCTGCAAAAACTGTATCAATCAGCCAGTCAAATGATTTAGTTTTGTATAGGTCCTGCAAATGGAACTAACAAAGGAAGTGGAACCAACACACTTTGTCTGCAACCCCACAGCAATAGAATATTGTAGTGGAATATTATCAGACTATGCTGGCCTTCTCTCCGGCAACCAACTTGTCCAGGCACAGCAAGTACAAACCCCTCAATACTGTTTGCATCCCCCCTCCTGGGTTATGAGCACAATTTCAGAATCCTACCTTAACTAAAACAGACATACAAGGAGATTTTTAAATACAGAAAACTTACAATTTTTTAGTATGTAGGCAAATTAGAATATAAATTAAATTCATGGCAATATAAGTGTACCAGGTACACTGATGATGGCAATTAGGATTGGAATTTTGCTAAGTGACATGGTTTTAAAGCACAACAACATCATTTACTGACAGCAATCTCTACAGTCCCACTTGTCATTGTTAATCAAATCCCATGGTCATTAAGTGAGGCAACTTCCTGCTGTCTTCCCACATCCAAGTCAGTGGAGAAGTTGGCAGGAAGTTGCAAGTCTCAGGAAATTTGCAGCAGGCCAGAGGCAAGTAATTAGGTGCTATCAGATGACAGAAAATGTGAGGGAGGTGTGGCAAGGTCAAGAAGGGTGTGTGGGGATATGCAATGCGCAGCAAGGGTCAGAATGGGGCCAAAGGGATACATGGTAAAGGTCAAGGAGGGATGCAAAGGTATAAGGGGATTGGAGGAGGCCACAGGCATGAGAGAGACTTAGCTTAGTGATGAGCAACCTTTCCTGCGACCTTCCCTATTGACAGCAGGGAAGCCAGCAGGGAAGGTTGCAAATGGTGAACATGTGCTGCAACTGGTCATAAGTGTGAGCTGGTTGCCAGTTACCCAGATTATGATTACAAGTAGGGTAGGAGTGCTGGGCCGATTGGAATTCAGCACCGTCATAACTTTGAACAGTAACTGAATATATTACATATTTTGTTCTACTTTAAAAACTATGGCTTCTTAGTAGAATTCTTGCCATTTGTCAAAATGGTGTAGGGTCTCCTGCTTGGGTGGGGGACTGGACTAGATGACCTACAAGGTCCCTTCCAACTTGGTTAATCTATAATTCTGAATTATATTTTTAATTGGCTGCATTGGACGCATCTTGAGTAGATATTATACAGAAATGCAATAAATAAAGCAAAACTATACAGAGTCTTTACCTTTGTAATGTTAATGTTTTGTTTTGATACGATACCCTCATCTCTTCCAAGTCTCTTTCCAATTCTTCTATGGAACTAAAAATAACAGGGAAGTTTAATAATAACCTGTATTCTCTCAGAAATTAATGTTAAGACATATCATTTGTTTCATACCAGATCTAAAATAATTTTTCTGCTTGATAGAGTGACCAGATAGATGGTCATCTGTTTTGATACTAGATCTGGATTTTTTTTTCATGTTTGTCAATAGAATGTAAAACAGTAAACCAAAATATAGTGCTAACATATTTTGGTTTTAACAGTAAACCAAAATATAGTGCTAACATATTTAAGATTAATAAAATTAATTTTATTAATCTAGATTAAGATTAATACATTAAGATTAATACATTGCTTCAGAAATAATTTTCTTTTTTAATAGAATTTCTATCACAATAGAAAAAGAATGTAAGCTTATGATTTGTCATGGGCATACTGAAAACTGAAGCATAAACATGTTTTGATTCTTGAACTATGAAAATAGGATGGGATTCAGCAATGTAACTAATAAACATAAGGCATTAATACAAGAAGTTGATGCTTCTCATGACCAGAAAAGGCATATACTATACATCAGCCATAGTAGTTACTTGAAGGACACCCACCCTCCCATATTTAGCATGTATTAGTCTGAGATACATTTTCTCAGAAAGAAATTCCAATCAGATAAATGTGGCATGTTATCAGGTAAAACACAATATATTAAAATCTTTAAAATACAAGTTTCCTTAAAAATAAAGAAAAGTTAGATAAATTCTAATTTTCAAACGTATGAGACAATGAAAGATATTATCATGCTACATATAACAAATTTTGAAAACATACCCCTCCAATATTTTTTCATTTCTATCTTGATCCGGAATCTTTTCTGCAGCTGCTAAACAAAAATATATATATTTATAAAAAATAGCTGAACCCTCCCATCTCTCAACACAAATATGGCATAGAAAAGTCTAATGCTACAGAGAAAGGACAGTCAAAAGTCTTGACATTTTAATTTTGTCAGAAACTTTAACCTAATTTTCAAATATTTACTTTCACATTGTAATATAACAAAGTTTGAGTTTTTATGATCCACCTACCTGAATTGATTATTGTATTATATTCCATAAGATGCTGACTTATTTGTTCCTTGATTCTAAAAAACAAACACATACACTCATAATTAGAAAAAAAATGCAATTGTAGTAGTTACTGCAAGACTAAATTGCATTAGTGTTCACTGAAGATTTTAAACTCATAAACTCAGCTAATGTATATTTAAATATTTAAAATCTCCTAAATTTAAATTAGGACAAGTTATAAAACCATTGCAATATGAACATGATTTTTCCATTTACACCACTGTTCAGAGTTTTTAAGCTTTTCCTTTTGTAGTTTTTTTTTGTTGTGGCAACCCACTTCGCAGCCATCAGTTTTAGAGATCTCAGGAGCAATTTTTATTAAGAGACTTGTAAGCATTGCCTAATGGAAACAACACTAGAAACGTTTTGATATATTAAAACTTATCTTGCTGGTACTTCTACCTCTCTAAGTTCAAAGCAGTTGCTTTGGAGGGAAACAATATTTCTGGCCCTCTAGGCTTATGTTCAACAATATTCCTCACAGTTAAAACAACCTGCATTCCAGCCTTGCTCGGTTTCCTGAGTCAATGGAAAAATATGTCGGCACAACTGGTGAGGGACCAGCTTTAATCTGTCTTCACATTCAGGCCTGTGGCTATACTGTATATCACCATCTTTACAACTTTAGGGTAGCCATTGTGGGATTTCCCTGGTTGTCAAGGGATTTCCTTAGGGTGGTACTACTCCTGTGGAGTTTCCAACCAAGACTGCAAAACTCCGCACCACCATTAGATGGAAGCCAAGAGCTAAGAGTGTTTTTTTTTTAAAAAATCTCCACCTAAAGAGTCCTCCGAAGTTTTACTGCCAATAGAATGGCCTCCTGAGAGAAGAAGGGCTGGCTATAAGTCTGACAACGACTGAGCTGGAAGAAACTTCTTGGATGAGATGCGAAACGTCTTCAAAGAAAAACCAGTCGCCTCTTGAAAAAGCACCTTTGGGACAACCATGACCTGGATGACTGAAAATCTCCATAGACTGACCGATAGAGCTTGAGCAAGTCCGGCGTCTTCTCACTGTCTTCGTTGAAGAGCAAACGGGTTCCTTCCTCCATCGCTCCTTCCGTGGGATTACCGAAAGCCGCCACCAGCGCTGCCTTGTCTCCTATCTCCGGACAGCCCGCTACATCCCGCGCTTCCATCCCGGCGACGCCGCCCAAACCTCTTTCTTCTCACCGATTTACCCGAGCGCTCCACCGAGACTGCACGGGCCGCTCTTTCAAATAGCCCGCCGACCGCCTCCGCGTTACGTGTGAGAAGAGTATCGTCAACTCGACGATGGATTGCTCTGGCCTGCTGTCGGTCGGAAGGGAAAGAACGGCGCTCTTTACTCAGGCCTCGCGAGGGGTGGAAAAACGTACAAAAAATGTTGTCGCCCCGCCCAGCGGAGCCTGGGAATTGCGTTGATGCGGCCTTCCGTTAGTCCGGGACGCCCAAGCGGGGATAGGAGGGAAATGGAGCAAAGTATTGGAGGCGGCATTTCTGTTCGTGAGCGCCGATTGCGGCTCCGGGTTTCTCCAAAGAAAGCGGGGCAGAGATCCGAGAGAGATCAGGGATAAGTTAAACTAGGGAAAAATTCTTTAGGCTGCAATCCTAAACCTTCCACTTGGAGAGAATTTGTATCACTTTAGTAAGGAGCACGGTGGCTCAACGTACTTTAGGACGGTGGGATTGAGTAGCAGCAAACCTGCGCTTGAGAGCTCCTGAGTGTTGTCTTGGGTCGGGGTGAAAAAGCACCTTTGGAGTAAACACTGTCGAATTGCGAAGTGCCACAAGAGCTTGAGAGCTCACCCAAACTGGACTGTCTTGGTTTTGTCTTTGAAGACGTTTCGCTTCTCAGTCAAGAAGCTCCATGTTTTCAAAGAACCAGAAACTTCAGTTGCCTCTTGAAAAAGCACCTTTGCTTCTTGGATGAGAACCGAAACGTTTTCAAAAAAAACCCAAGACGGTCCAGTTGGCTCTTGGAAAAAAACAAGGCACCTTTGGGACAACTATGAGGATGACTGAGAATCTCCTTAAGGCTAGAGGTCCCCAAACTTGGCAACTAGCTGGCTGGAGAATTCTGGGAATTGAGGTCCACAAGTGTTAAAGTTGCCAAGTTTGGGGACCCCTGCCTTAAGACATTCGAGCATGTGGGTTTGTGAGTAGATAGATACCACTTGGGTGGACGCATTAATAGAGATAGGACAGGAACTCTTATCTGGGCATCCTCCGGGCAATGGTAAGATCACCGGCTGATCCTTTCAACCTGGAAGAGCCTTGGTGCTTCCAACAGGGTTACCATGCCATCGCATTTGGTAACACTTCTGAATTAGATGGTTGAGTGATTTCTTAATATTAAATTCACATTTTCTACAGAAAGTGATACTGTATTTGGGGAGGGTGTCGAATCTCTAGATCAGTGGTTCCCAACCTTTTTTTCGTCCCGCACCCCTAAAGAAATTTCACTCGAACCTCACACCCCCTGGAATAAAAATGCCAACAAATAGCCAATATCCTATTGTTTACCTGGACTTTTCTCGCACCCCCTGGAATATCGTATCACACCCCCAGGGGGTGCGAGCACCCCAGGTTGGGAACCCTTGCTCTAGATCAAGGGTCTTCAAACTTGACAGCTTTAAGACTTGTGGACTTCAACTCCCAGAATTATTCCTCCAGTCATGTTAGCTCAAATTCTGGGAGTTGAAGTCCACAAGACTTAAACCTGCCAAGTTTGAAGACCCTTGATCTAGAATTTGAAAGGGACATTTGGGGTCTACAAAATCAAAACTGTTTATCGGATATTGAAGACATTTGAAAAAAATTAAAACAATGTCATTGTTTTGTTAAAAAATGGGTTCTTTTCACGAAATATCTATTTTCATCCAATTTAATATTCTACGAATGCATCAGCATTTTAATTTTTAACATGGTAACTTGCCTAAATCTGATTTGGATCATAGTTTAGCACACTTAAACTTAATTGAAAGGAAAAACCTACACACTTAGTTTTGATATATATTTAATATTCTACATTCCATTATATCGAGTTTATGAACGAGCTACAAAATGTATCACTGGCAACACAATGATGCAAATAAAAAGTTATGGTCCATTTGTAGCTATCACTAATCAGAAATATAAATGTCCATTTTAATGTGTGAAAGCCTTGATAGCCTAGGAGAAAACCCTTCAGATGTTCTGACTAGATATACTATAATTTATTAAATAACCGAAAATATTTTCCAGGTTTTTGAAAATATTTCTTACATTAAAATGCTGTATATCATTTTCTTCATAGTAAAAATCAGTTTCCTTGTAAAGTCATGCTCTATATAAATGCAAAGTATAGCTTACAGTAAGAATGATACATCACTTACTGAATCTGTGTTACAATTACATTTTTAATAGTTCTGATAGTTTGTCATATTCAATTGAACTTATTCTGAAAGTTAAATATTGCCTATATTAAGACAACTTTCATGACCAATTCTTGATGTTGGTGTGCTTCTAAACACAAAATGTTTAATATCTTATCCATTTTATGTATTTACTAAAACAAGTAACTAGGAATGGCCATTGTAATTTTTATTACTTCAGAATACAGATAATGAAAATTTCCCCTCTGAGTAAATAAAGAGATCTTTTTTCTGTTTGTCAATATATTGTATAGGCATGAGCTTCCAATATCTTATTTTATTTTAGGCTTAATATCTGACAAAACAAATGGTTAAGTAGACCATGACAACAGTTGAAATAAAAGTAAGGAAGTTTATTAAAAACTTTAAGAGAATATATTATATACACACAACAGTGACACATGGTGTCAACTTTGTCCAAACAGTTAAATTATATTTATTTCAACAATGGTTTAGCCAGATCCTGTATGACTGCAGAATTCAACGCTGGAAGAGTGCTAATCTTGGCATGCTTGGTGCTGGCGTATTTGTTTTTGATAGTCTAGGGACAAAGATGTGATTCATTATGAAATACTTTGTTCTAGAGCATCATTTCATTAACATATTTTTACTGAATTTCTAAGGCAGCCCATTTATCAAACAGATGCTAAACCACCTCTTTTGAGGAATAGATAACAACCATATGAGCTCCATAATCATTGCTTAAATATTTTCATAGATAAAGCTGTATTGCTATATTATACAAAAAACTCATAGGAATTAGAAAATTGAAAATCCTAAGAATGTATTACGAGCATATAAGGAAATGACTACCATAGTAACTTGCTTAGGTACAAAATGGCTGCCACAAGGAAGGGAACCTATTATGCTAGTTCTGTAGAAGAAGGAAAAAAGGCAGCCCACTACTTAGATTGTTTTCCCACTAGGGAACTTTTTTTGCTTGGTCCCTGTTGAAAGAAGCTACACATGTCCTAGGACATTTTTGCCAAGTCTGGGACAATGTGTGGTTCCACCAGGCAGAAATGATTTGGGAGCGGGAGATGGGGGGGGGGGGGGGGGGGGGGGGGGAGGGGGGGGCGGAGAGGAAGGCAAGAGCATTAGCAACAGCAAAGGAGGAAGATAGATGCAAGGACAATAGTAATAGTACTTACTTACAGCTTTATAGTACTTTACAACCCTCTCTAAGCAGTTTACAGAGTCAGCATATTGCCCCCAACAATTTGGGTCCTCATTTTACCCACCTTGGAAGGCTGAGTCAACTTTGAGCCTGGTGGGGTTTGAACTGCCAAACTGTAGGTAGCTGGCTGCAGAAGTAGCTTGCAAGTACTGCACTCTTAACCACTGTGCCACAGAGGCTCCAACAATATGGACAGACACAATGCCAATGGGACACGCCAAGGTGGATTCTTTGGCACATTTCTTTTGAAATGTGCTATGAAAACTGGGAGGCTGAGAAATAGCTTCTCTGGAAGCCACTGAGGGAGCAATATATACCAGTCTTGCTGTAGTCATTCTATTTGAATGTTATTTTGTCTAAAACACAGAACCAAAGCATTCTGGAGTTTTGTTCTAATGACCCATTGATCCTCTAATGCCTGGTGGTTTGTTTGTTCCAGGTGTGGGGAAATATTTTCTGCATGCTTCCCTTCTGCCCATTGTATCCTTGTTTTCTGTTCAGATGGGGTACTTTCAAATAATGAAATACATTTATTTTCTCAGAATGCCTATGAAACCAATTTGGGCCTTAGATTCTTACAAATAAAGACATTCTGAATGATAGGGAAACTTGTGGGTTCCAGGGAGAGTTGTCTACAGGTAAATTTAAGTGTTCATGGCATTATAGTACGTATATTTTCTCACCTTATACAATTGCAGTAGTTGCTAAAAATTACAAAGCTACTATTACTTTCTGATAAACCAACTTACTTAGACAAAGCTTTCTTAATAGAGAGTAATAGAATTAAGCAGAGATGGCAGGTTCACCTTATCCCTCAGGTAAAGGATAGGCACATAATGGAGTTTTGACTTAGATTCTTATACTGAGCAAGTGATTGGATCTGATATTCTAAAGGCACCTCCCAGCTCCTGGGGACAATTTAATTCACAGCCTTTCCTAGGATTTATTCATGAAGATTGAGATTTGTGCTTTTTAAGTGTGGGTAAGTATAAGTAAGCAAGCAGATATATTTACCATGTGCTTTACAAGGCCCCGGTTTACCAACATCACATTCTTTGCCATATGCTCCATCACAGGAATAAGAGCGTCTTCAGTATAATACATGTAGTGTTCAAGAATTGGTGTCTAAAGGCAAGAGGTAAATTTATAAATTAAAGACTTCGAAGATCTTCTGGTTTTTCAAAGACCTGTCTTCATTGAACCTTTTTGAGAGCCTTCTATTAATAGCAAACTATTAGGTGTATTCAGGACCAAGTAATCATATGGTTACAGATCTATAGAACTAGATTTATAGCAGAAAAAAAGTGAGCTATACCTTTCTAATTCAATTTTTCCACAGTAATCTGCTTCAGTAACACCTGAACAAGTCATTACTTCAAGCATTGGTTGGGAACAGCAGCTTGGTAAAGTGAAACTGCTTATGATCTTATTTCAGTTTTCCTTTTTTTTTTAGACCTACAAAGGTCATAAATGTGAGGACTAATCACAAAGTTACTTTCTCATCACCATCATATCAGTGAAGATCACTAAAACAGTCAGTCACTAAATAAGGACTATCTGAAACTTTTCCTTTGTTTTGTTCGGGTTCTGTGACTTACCCACTCTCCCTCTTCCAAAACTTTACTAGACAAGCAAAAAGCTGCAGCTGCAATCCGGGAGGGAGGATAATGTACCATTTCATAATCCACCAGTGCAAGTTCCATCAGGTATTTTGCCAAGGAATGCTGATTTATATCTGCCTAAAATAATCAGAATAAAGATGTTGCATTTATTGTCCTACAAATCTCGCTAAGAAATGTCTTTTATTACACATTGCATAAGATTAAAGCATCAATTTATTTTTTCTAATTGTATATATGTAAAGAAAAACAAACTAAAAGGTTTTTAAGTACCTTTCACTGGAAAACAGCAGACATCACTATATTGTGTTAACTCTGCTTTTACAATTAGAATTCTATTATCAAAATGAGAACATTCATAAAAAATAGGCAATTAGAAGATATTTTCTAGTTTTAACATTTAAAGGAGCGTTACCTCTCCAATTTTTGATGCCCTCCTTAGAAAATGCAGTGGAAGAGGGCGACCAAGGTTAAAATCCAATGATCTTAGTATTTTCATTTCCATTTGCCTGATTTGTAGGTTGGTGTAAGTATGATCTGTCACATAGGCAAAATCACCAATTTCTGGTGGAAACATTTCTTCATATTTGCTAGCAATGAACATGGCTGTTACACCAACCAGTTGTAGCATCTTCTTGGCTACTTTGTTATTCTGTAAGAGAGTTCCCATCAATTATTTTTTTAAACATTCTAAAATATTGAAAAACAATGGTTATGCTGTCCCAATACAGTATTCATTGTCATTGGATAAATACATGTAAGTTAATTTCAGAACAAGTTTAAGAGTATATGTACCGGTAGTCATCAACTTACAATCATTTACTTAGTGACCATCAAGTTACTATGGCATTGAAAAAAATGTCTAACACTGACCTGTCCTTACTCTTATGACCATCACAACATCCATAGTCATCAAAATTCATATGTTTAGCAACTGGCATGTATTTATGATGGTTGCAGTATGCTGGGGTTCATATTACCACCATCTGAAAGTTTTCCAGCTGGCTTCTGATAAGCAAAGTCAACTGAGGAAGCCAGATTTGCTTAAAAAATGCAACTCACCTAACTGCAGTGTTATCAGGTGCAAAGAATCAGGACCATACATTAAAGTTGCAGTTCAGAATATTTTTTACTCAAGCCTATACCCCAGAATCTAGACAACTATACTGAACACTAAACTGGTGCAAAATTAAGGGTCAATAGAATTCAAGGAGTTGGACTGAGACTGTGGGAATGTAACAACTCTGGGCTGATGATTTATTTAACCCCGCCAGCTCTATTTACTCATATTGTTTCACTTAATAAAATTTCAGTTAAATGAAAATTTAAATTTTTTTTTTGTAAAACCAGGCAGGATTCAAATAACTTTCTTGCTTAGCAATGTAAATTCTGGTCCCAATTGTGGCTATAAATTGAGGACCACCTGTATCCATTTGTCAGGCTACTCATGCTCATTAGCTAAATGCATATAAGTTGATTGCAGAGCAAGTTTCGAGTGTATGTATTGTCCAACTGCTGGTAATAGCAAAGGAAAAGCTATTACTAAAGAGAAAGGCTTATATAATGTAAATCTCTAAATTGACATTCATCTGTTGATTTCAAAGAAGCCACATTACTTAGGCTAAAAGGTAGTGGAGAGTTCTCATTCTGTTTATTCAAAGTTGGAATGAGCTTTTTGACCAGTTTTCCTTACCTGCAGAAAACGATCTATTATGGCAACAGTCATGTACATGGTCTCTTGCAAGAGTTTGAATTTCATCTGAACTTGCACAAGCCAGTCAATTAGGATGGCCCGCATACTTCCAGTAATTTCCTGACCTGCCAAGTAGTTTGCTCTCACTGATTGCTGACCCTGCAAGGAGCAGAAATATGCAGGAAGTTAAATTGTATATTTCTTCCTCTGATCATGTTGTCATTGTCCAGTTGGATTAGACATATTTCCCAATATGAAGCCCTCTAGATTACAAGAACATTCCTACCTTCTTTCCCTAGTTAAATCACCTCAATTTTAGAACAAGCTGCCATCTTGTATTCATATAGTTTACTGTGATTATTAGCTTAATAGCTTGACACCTAACTACATGTAGTTACATGTAGTTTATTCAAACTATAGGTAAATCAGGATTAAAAAAAAATATCAGTGTTTAAATGTTTACTGATTCTTCAGAAATTGTGCTAGAGATGTGATAACTAATTACCAACAGCAGTCTAGCGTTTGTAATAAAATATCTTGCAAAGTAGTTTTAATTCCACAGCCATATGTCAGGCCTGATTAGCTCTTTAAACCAACCTCAAGAACTTTCAAGTAGTTGTAGATGTCCTTCACATATTCACTACAAAGGTTTGGATCAGAACCATCATCTGTATCTACATCTTTCACTTCAAGCAGTACATCAGAGAAAGCCTGGCATAATATGTCCTCAGCAGGAGCACATCCAGATGTTTCCATGGGGCTTGGGGATAGAGACTCCAACTATAAGGAATATAATCTTTAGTACATAACCCACATCAGAAAAATATGTAGCATATTTTTGCTTCATTCAGAGCATTCTTTGGACTCATTGACATTGTGCCAGGAAAAGGCTACATCATGTGTCTCTAAGAATGCATTTGTTTGTGTTTCATAGGCTGAAATTGCAGCTATTTCCTGTGGATGCTTCACCTACAGTATGTACTTCCAGCTGCATAACTATAGGTGCAATTAAATTCATTAGTTGCTTACGAACATGCAAATATAAAATATCTGCTCATTATCCAAGTTTTATTGATAGTATTAAGCCTTACTTTATACAAAAGAAGGGCCTAAAGTACAGTTGCAAATCAGAGGTAAATTGAAAGTTGAATCTTTCAAGGAACTGAAGGGTAGAGATGCTAAAATTGGCTCTGCCCTAATTGTGCAGATTAAAAATGTAATACTGTTGGAGAGAAAGCAGTTGGATATTGCATTCGAAAAAATACTGCATTGATGACATCTAAGGAAAGTAGCTCAATATGTTACATAATTTTTAAATTTATTACATTTATATACCATCTATCACTATTCAAAGTGGCACTTGATTATTAGCAAATCAATTGACCTTGATTGTAGGTTAAGATGTACTTTATATTTTTATATTCCATCTCAACTAGTGACAATGTTAGGTGAAATCTATGAAATCACTATAAAAATAAGCCCAGAATAAAATTATTAACCTAGAATCTTAGCTGTTTTGACTATCATAGCTAGATCAGGGGCTAATATATTTCTTTACTGCCATCTAGAGGTCATTTGAAATGTTGCAACCTATATATAAAGCAAAAGTTTGAAACTGCAACCTATTAAAAGTAAATAAAAATTCTAAATCTCTTGCTTCCAACAACTACAAGTTTACAAATCTAAATAGAAAGTCTTTGCTCCTAATTAGCCAGGTCCCTTAAACACTTATTTACAAACTAATACCTTAACAGGTTCTGGAATTGGCTTTTCTTTCACAGGTTTTTCAGTAGGTTTTGTGGTTTTCCGAATAGTTACTTTGTCCACGGCTGTAGGCTGCTTCAACACTTCCTAAGTGGAAAAGTGGTGTGGGAAGGAAAAAACAGACAGTAAAGCCATAGTCCTGCATATTCCTAACCCCTACTGCATTACTGAATAAAGAACAAGCAAAGAAAGGATTACCTTTTTCACTGTGTCTTTAGACTGTGGCTCACAAGCTTTGTTGCCAATGTCTCCCAAAGCAGTCCTATTACGCCTTAAAGCTGGCTTGCTAGCAGCAACCCCTGGCTTATTGAGGGCCATTGCAGGTTTTGTTTTGTTCTCAGCATTGACCTTTGTGTTCTACCCAAAAACAAAAAAAAAAGTGACAAAACATTCAGAAATATTACTCGGCATTATGAAAAACTGGGAAGGGAAAAAAAAGTAGCTTGCTTCTTTCAAGTAGTTGTAGGCTCTTCAATGTAGGGAAAAACAAACCCTCAGATATATTTTAGGAGTAGGATTCAGTTATATACGTTTAACAAGGCAAGATGACGTTTTTCCACCCGCAACAGGCAACCTCGACTTCCCCGTTCAAATAGAGGGTCAGAAATACGACAAGAACCTCAGAAAGAGAGAGGAACAAGGTATATTTGTCACAACCGCCATGTTGCTCGCACCATTACCGCACCTTCATCGTAGACAAAACTAGCACAACTCATCTTTGGAACAGATTTATTTACAAGTAAACCCCACGATGCTCAAAAGGTACCCCCCCCCCCGTTAAGTTAGGTAGAATTTCAGCATAAATGGCCGCCAGGCTCCTACAAATCCTAACGTGCAATACCGGCCTAAAGATATCTCCCAGGCAATTTCCTCCATACCCGGGTAACTCGCAAAGCCATGGCCTCAGCTGGATTCCTAGATCCTCACGACCGGTCTGCTCCGAATCGCTCCCTTACTCGCCCAGGACCGAAAAGAGAGCAGATTACTGCTGCTGCACGAGTCCGAAATCTTCTTTGCCTGCAGCAGCAAATTTAAAACTCGCACCAGGCTGCGCTCATTGGCTGCTTTTCAGTTTCCGCCTCCTTCCATTGGCTGCCCAGCGTTCTATTCTAAATGCGTTTCTACGACTACGGAAGGTTGACTCCTCCAAGAGTTCGAAAAAGGAGGCGTGGTTAAGAGAGGATTGGCAGGTTGGATCACAGTTTAATGCTCAGCTGGGAGAGAAAAGGTTATTACTAGAAGGGTGGGATAATTGCGATCGATGATCACTTTGAAAACTTAAATTACGCATATGTTAACTGTAAGAAATTTTAGAAAATATGAATCGTTCCTCTAGTACAGGGGTCTCCAACCTTGGCAACTTTAAGACTTGTGGACTTCAACTCCCAGAATTCCTCAGCCAGCTTTGCAGTTGAAGTCCACAAGTCTTAAAATTGCCAAGGTTGGAAACCTCTGCTCTAGTAGAAATATACCACAGCTTACAAAAATAAGTGGGTTTCTTTGGAAAACTATTAAAATCTTAGGTCAGTTTTATTTACTATCATCGTAAACCTCAGGTCAGTTTGAAATTCGGTGTATCTTAGTAAACCAGTACAATGAAGTGCATCATTGTAAGTACAGCTGATACCTCTTTTCCCAACTAGGTCCCCATAAATTAAACGTTTATAATCGTCAAAACAATCAACATTTATGGTATCTCTATGATTGCACGTTTCTGCTGGAGCCAACGGCATCTTTGCTGGTCATAGAAATGTTAAAATGTAGATGAAAAAGAGAGAAAGGTGGCTTCTCCTGATTTCTTATTACTAATGGATATTTATTATTTTCACATAGAGGTTACTTATATAGAAAAGCCAGGAATTTCACTGTTGCAACAATGGTGCATGTTAAGCTGAGAAATAAGTTATTGGGTCAGTTACGGATTTCATTTGAAACATACTGAGCATCTTAAGTCTCTTCAACTTGAATCAATTAACTTGGTGGCAAACAGTAATACATAACTCTCACACCAAAATATACAGAAGGCAGGTATTCTTAGGTTTTATTGGCCCATAACATCCTGATATCACTTTACTATCATATGTGCTTTTTATGTGATTGAAAACTAATTGTCTTAATGCTAAAATCTAATGGTATATAACAAATGACAATCCCAGGAATGCCTCCTCAGAAGTAAACTTCAGGCTGCGTTATTCCCAGGTGAAGATAGGATTCAAAATTTAGGACCCTTAAAAGCAGTTGGTAGTCAATAGGCTGCCATATTATCAATGTATGACACCTGTTGATTTCATGTCATTAAAATGCTACTGCTTTTATGGACCTATTGAAGGAGTTACTTATGTTTCCAATAAGCAATGGTTATATTGACTAATGACTGTTGTAGTTGTGGGGGAAACACCAGGCTTGGTAAAGTTGTCATAAAACCTCCATGAGTCTTGTGTAGTTGTGGCCAACACATAAAGGAAACTGTAACTGAGGAAAACCGTCTTTACACAATATAAATAATAAAACTGTTGAAGGACATACTCAGACAAAACATCTCAGTTTGAGTAGAAATAAGTAATCATTGAGATTTTTATCAAAAGATTTCTTCAAATTGAGCTTGTTTTCTGTAACTATATAGAAGTATTTGTATAATTTTATTAATCGCAACATGAAAGTGCTTTGTCAGTGCTTGCTTCTAAGACACTGAACTTTTCAGCCTAGTCAACAGCCCTTGGATTTCTTCACATTCAGGTCCAACTGTGCTATGGCTGTGGTAGCGGTGAATCTGGTTTGTCAGATGGTGGCATCTGCTGCAATGGCTTGGCTTATATTTACTCAGTTTGCTTACCAAAATATTGTGTTGGACTCTGGGCAAACTTTATTTACATTTGTCACATCCATTTAAGTCTTGTATTCTGCATTTCAACACAGAATGAAACTTAAAAGTGCTGGATAAATACCTTTATCATCTTTTGGCATTCAAATACAAGCAGATTCAACAGACATAATATTGTCTACATATTTGTTCAATGTTCATAGTTCTAGAATGGTGGGGAAGACAAACTGCATCATATTAAGCAGAAATGTGGTTCATTATCTTAAGGGGCATAATTTAAGGACAATTGTTTTTTACTGATGTAGACAACTGCCTCCATTATTTGAAATACTGAAAGGGTCAATGATAGTTAAGGGAAATTAATCCTTTAATGATTTCATACTTGTTACATCTGAAATGAAAAAAAACATCCTTACCAGTCCTATGTTCTCTTTCCAGCCTCACCATCGCCTATTCTGCTTCTTTCAATGTGTGTTGTCATAACAGGTATTGAACTCGTCTAAATATTCTATGCCATTTTAGAGGAACTTTATAGCTTAAAATTCTATAGAAAATTGAACTCAGTGTCATTTTGAGGCAGAAAACTCAATTGTCACAGATTTTTTTCTAATTTTAAGTCTGTAATTTATGCAATAATTTCACTAGATGCTTATAAAAATTATAAAGTATTTATTTTACACAGTGGTTCAAACTAAGGAACACAGAAGTGCAAAAACAAAAAAAAGTGTTTCCCTCCCTGATTTGTGGTTACCAGGAATTTTTCCTTCTAAAAAAATTAATTCACCTGACAATATTTCTATGGCAGAATCTATTTTCATTTTTAAAAAAGCCATCCTTAGAAAATAGGATTGTATACAGAAATGGAATTTATATAAAATGTACATTTGTATTTAATGTTTTAAAAAACATTTGCACTCAATGTGTAAGTACTTATACATACAGCAGCAAAGCTTCAAAATAATTTTGAAGACAATTTTTTTATGGAGTGCTAATTTCCTTTACAAAGCTTATGAAAACAATTTTAGATTGCAATGGAAGAGAATTGTTCATTATTCCTCTTTGGGGAAAGTGTACAATACATTTGTGCTCATCCACATTCATATAGCAAATTCAGTTTAATAAGACACCAAATACAATATTTTACATTGCCATTATTTCCACATATACAGCAAATGTCCTAGGTGTCCCACATTTTTATAAACCTCTTGATCTGGTTTTAAAGGTAACAGTTTGTCTAAAAATCCATATATATATATGTGTGTGTGTGTGTGTGTGTGTGTGTGTGTGTGTGTGTGTGTGTCTGTGTGTGGATTATAAATCCATCCAAATATATCTGTACATTTATGTGCAAATTCTCTTGGTGAAATAATAAAGATGAACTCCAAATTACATGATGTAAGTACCATCTTTGTAGTATTTCATGGATTCCATTTGTTTTGTCATTGCAAGGACATCATGGAACCCTGTACTGAGGCCAGACATATGCTGAAAATAAGCTTCTTTTTCCACCTGGATAGTCAAATTGTTAACACCAGAATCTTTGAGAACAGCTGATACCTAAACAAAAAAATGAACAGTTAAACACAAACATTAAATTTCCAGCAAAACTCTCTCTGAAGATAACTGCTCTTAGGCAAGAAATACTATAACAGGGCTGTCAAACTCCTGGCCCATGGGCTGGATGCGTCATGTGCTGGCCATGTCCACCCGGCTTAGCAAAGGAGAAAAAGTCCTGATACTTGATGCTGCCATGACGTGAGTTTGACACCCAATCTACATTGTAAATCTTCTACATGTGAAATTTTTTTTCTTTAAAAGCTTCTTTCTGGGCAGCAGTGGAATGACTTGTTGTCTCAGCAAGTCTAACCTGGGATTCTACTTTTTCTATTGGTATAATATGCACAAAAGTGAATATTATACTACAGTGAAAGTACGTTGTGCCAGAGACACTGCAATTTCAAACAAAACTAGAAAAACAAGGGAAATGAATTTAATTTCCCAATTCCTACTGGAACTCTGCAAAGTTGTACTGATCAATCTCATCATCATTTTTTTTAAAGGAGGAAGGAATAGAAAAATAAATGCATTCCGCAAATGACATATATGTTACACTTAATTTTTAAAGGCAAAAAAAATAGGTATAGTGTTCCACAGTTTCATCCCTGTCTCATCTAAGTCATCTTATCACTACTACATCTGTTGGAAACTTCTGAAGGCTTGGAAATAACTTTGAAAATAAATAATCTCCAGAACAGTGGTGGGATTCAAAAACTTTTACCACCGGTTTGGTGGGTGTGGCTTGGGGGGGCGTGCTTTGCACTCATGCACATACTTTGCATGCATGTGCACGCCAAACACGCACTTTACGCAGGCGCAGAGGCGTTTGCACAGGCGCAGAGGTGTTCCACCTCATCTCCTGCAAGCTTGCACTCTCCTGGTCGCTTCAGCAGCTGCCGTGTGGCACTCTTCCGTGCTGCGCAAAGCAGCTGCGCTTCAAAAGCATAAGATAAAGGTGAGTATGGGAGACAGGGTGGGCAGGTAGGCCCAACAGCAGAGTGGTGGAGAGAACCGATTCTGTCTCTGTTGCTCATCGCCGCTACTGGCTTGGCAGAACCGGGCCGAACTGGTAGCATAGCACCACTGCCCCGGACCAAGATTGCCTTCAATAATGCACACAGAGGAGAGTTATATGCAAGACATGCTAAAATTACATCAGTTTAATCATTCTACTAATTGAAGGCAATGAACAACTTTCAGAAGATGTTATCACGAAGGTAATTTTACCATTTGGTTGTGCTATTGGCAACTGATATTTCACTAATCTAGAGAAAGTCATAAGTGTGAGAACTGAAGATTCATGAAGAATAAACATACTAAGATACCTGCTGTATTATTCTCTGTTCCATTACTTCTGACATTACTTGTACATGTATTGTGCCTGCCACCACATTAGCAGAGTGACACCAGAAGTGAGGATCTCTGTAGGAGATGACACCATCTATGTTCTGGATCTGTTAAAAAACACAGAATAACCAGTAATAAATATTCTATGATATTGTCCAATATGATGTTTATCCCCCAAAAATGCATTTGTATGTTGTTATAGGCGTTATTACTTCTAACCTTTTCTAAAGCCATGTGCAGATCTTTCTCATGTTCTGGAGGCAGTCTCAACAAGAGTACTTGGCAA